GTGACTGTCTGCACACAGGCTGTGGTGTCTGTGTGACTGTCTGCACACAGGCTGTGGTGTCTGTGTGACTGTCTGCACACAGGCTGTGGTGTCTGTGTGACTGTCTGCACACAGGCTGTGGTGTCTGCGTGACTGTCTGCACACAGGCTGTGGTGTCTGTGTGTCCCTCTGCACTCGGCCTGCGGTATCTAAGGGACTTTGCCTGTGTGACTGTCCACATAGTCCTGCAGATGTTCTCAGCCATTTTTATGACCTCTATCTCTGCCTTTTCTTTTACCTTTCCTCACCTTGCAACACCCTGATGTTGGGAAGGGGCAGAACACAGGGAGCTGAGCGCCCAGGGACCGTCACAGCTGGTCACATGCAGAAGTGCAGCTTAAGGGGTCCCCTTGAGTACATGTGGTACATTCACACTCTGTGAAAACTAGGTCAACATAAGGAGGTGGTCAGTGGTGGTCAGCCCTAGAGAGTCTACTGTAGTGTAAAGCTTTGGTCCCCAACCCCATGCTTATGTCCCTGGCTGAGCTCCGCCTCCTGTCCCATCAGCAATGGCATTAGAGTCTCACAGGAATAGGAACCCTGTGTGACCTGCCAGGTGGGGGGGTCTGGGCTGCTGCTCCTACAAGCCCTAATGTCCAGTGGTCTGAGGTGCAGCTGTCGTGTGCTACAGTCATCCAGAAACCCTTTCCCCCACCCCCAGTGTGGAAATATTATCTTCCATGAACCCAGTCCCTGGTGCCACAGAGGTTGAGAACTGCTGGTTTAAAATACAAAACCAGTTGTTAGCGATTCTGGTGAGAGAGAGTTTGTATTATTCAGTGACTGACTTAACTGTGCGACTCCTGCTCCTATCATCATGCCATGTTTTAATATCATGTGATGCTCCTGTTTTAATTTCCTAGTTAATGGAATTTTATGTTTTTGGTAGATTTATAATAATACTTATTTCCGACTTAATATTTAAGTTGTATTTATAATTTGAAAGTCTTTCTCTACTAACTCCAAAATCTAGCTTTAGTGACGTTTTCTCTTGATTTTAGGAAGTATACTATCTATCTGTTGTGTGCGAGACATTCTGCTATTGTCCTCTGTGGAGTGTCCAGCTATTCTTACGGGAGCTGCACTGCTCTCTGGAGGCCTGGCTGTGGGACTGCTCTCGTGGAGGCCTGGCCGTGGCACTGCTCTCTGTTGGCCTGGCCGTGGGACCGCTCTCTGGTGGCCTGGCCATGGCACTGTTCTCTGGTGGCCTGGCCGTGGGACTGCTCTCGTGGAGGCCTGGCCATGGCACTGCTCTCTGGTGGCCTGGCCGTGGGACTGCTCTCTGGTGGCCTGGCTGTGGGACTGCTCCTGTGGAAGCCTGGCTGTGGGACTGCTCTCTGGTGGCCTTGCTCTGAGTTCTGAGGTGTGGATCCTGATCCTGGGACATGGTTGGAACCCAAGGCATGACTCCTCTGGACTGTCTGTGAACAGCCCCATGTGTTTTCAGACCACACTTGGCAGACATCCCTCTCTGCCTTCACAGTGGCACACGGATGTTGGAATTTCCACTCAGTGTTTTCAGCTGCTGGGTGTCCTATGCAGGGACCCTTGGAATTCTGTTCTGTGCCTGTGCAGTAGGGAGTCAGCCTTGGAATTGAGGGAAGGTTATGTAGAGATTCTGGTTCCCCTTTTTAAGGCCTTTCCTACAATGTTCTGGCAGCCTGAATCTTGATCTCAGACCCCTCCACCAGCAAGACTGCTCCTCTTAACTATGTGCCAGCCTCCAAGTTCAGGGAACTGAGGAGCAGCCACAGGGAAAGCTGGGTAAAGGTGACTCACCCAGAGCCAGGATCTTTTCAGCGTTGTGGTCTTTCCAGTTTCTGCCTGCATTTGTTTTCTTTTTTTTTTTTTTTCAAATGGGTTTCTTGGGGTGGGGGAGGGGTCCTGAGTTTATTATTGTTATTGGCAAAAGGATTAGCCTGATACAAATGATTCTGTCATACTGGACTCCTGAAGTCCTAATCAATGAGTGCGCTGTGGGAGAAAGCCATCAACAGCTAGTGTAGTTTGCACAGGCACCAATCTGTGAATGCATTTCCTGGAGGTCATTTTTATCCATCAGTAATTCTAATTTACTGCAACTGCTATGGAGGCTACAGGTTTCTGTGCTGCTTCAGAGGCTGCAGAGGTTCAGGGTAGTGGCCAAGCAGAGGTTTGCAAACGAAGTCAACAGAAGGATCTGCTCAGAACAGAACTGACTGGCCCTGGGAAGCATCTGGGCCCCTGGTGTGTTGTGCCCACAGGAGAGGCCTGCTCTCTAGCGCAGGCAAGCATGGGCCTCACTTAGTTCTTTGGCTCTTTGAACGATGAATCGTGAGCCACTGCAGCTGCAGCAAAAGTAGAACCTTCTCTGCTGGCCAGGCCAGACTTCCCTCTAGAGGTCCTACTCCCGTCGTCCTGCAGCCAGTGACACACAGGAGGGCACTTCGTAGGTGTGACGCTTGCCGTGCATCTGCAGCTGTGTGTGTGACGGGCGCTAGTCTTACCTTTGAAAGGAGGTGGATCGTACATTTCTCCTACTGAAAATGCTAAGTCACCTTTTTACGCCAATACGCCTGGCAGGGGAGGAGAGCCGAGTGCCTGGCCGCTGTGAGCCAGCTCCCCAGGGTGAGTTTGCCCCCACTGGGAAGTCTCTCAGCTCTGCCTTGCAGAATTTCACCCTGAAAATCGCATAACAGAGCGTGTGTTTCTTCTGTGTGCTTTGAGGCTCTTCAGTCTGGAGGCGCCACTTCCAACCCACTCGAGGGCCTGTCTAGAGCTCAGCCTGGTTGGGCCCCCAGCACCCACCCCAGGAGGGGCTCGCTGAGGCTGCAGGTGGATTTCTCTCTTCTGGATTCCCTGCGTGTCTTTGTTTACCACAGCAGCCCCTTCACACCTTTAACTCTTTCTGGTTTCTGCTGCTCTGTTGCATTTTCTCATTGAATATTCCGTTTGTGTCACTCACAGTCTTTTCTTTCTCTGCAGGTTTTGCATGCAGAAGTGTGTGAGTCTGGTGCCTGGAGTCACACTGGATTTGATAGAAAAGTAAGTGAGATTCTCAAGCTCCTGTGGCTTTCTGGGTCTGACAGGTTCTCAGGACTTTGCATCAACATGGGGATGTCCCCTTCATGTGGATGTTTCTTTTGTTCTCTGATTAAGACTGTTTGCCGTCCTTACTCTGGTGCTTAGTGTAGGAGATTGCCCAACACAGGCCACATGAAAAGGAAAAGTATAAAAAGCTGAAACGTTTGAACATTCAAAAATACTCCAGACTTTACACCAAAGCAAAGGCATCTTGCTACACATACAGATCACTTCTGCCAGATCACAGCTCAGCACCTACCTAATTTTCTTAAACGTTCCCTGTAATATTCTGTAACTTTCCATCCCTCCACCCCCACTCATTTTACTGTCTCAACACAAACTGATTTAAGAAGCTGAATAATAAAAGGCCACATTTTCATCAGATGTCCTTTCTGGAGCATTTTAATTGCACCTGCCTCCCATGGAGCTTCTGGGCAGACGCCTACCTCTTGTTTTGATCTGTTTAGATCTGAAATCTTATCTCCTAACCCTAAACTTGACCTGCATTGTTTTATTTGTCTGTATGCACATTTGACTCATCGTGGAGGACCTAGGCACTATGGAAAAATGATGGGAGTTATTTAAAACCCTTTGGCTCTGAGCCCCATTTCTTCTAGAATTTGCATATGAGATAATTATTTTCTAATTCCTAATAATCAATATCATATGTTAAAAGAGCTAAGGTCTAAATTTATTAAATTAGATAGGAAAGCAATTCTGCTTCTAAGTTCTTTCTAGAAAAGTACTTACCTTGTGCATCAGAGAAAACATACAAGAACACTATGCCAAAGACGTGCCAGTGGGGGGCGACCAGCCCCGCCGTGGTGTCTCCTGTCGTGGGGCGCCCAGCCTCACCCTGGTGTCTCCTGTAGTGGGGCGCCCAGCCTCACCCGGGTGTCTCCTGTAGTGGGGCGCCCAGCCTCACCCTGGTGTCTCCTGTAGTGGGGCGCCCAGCCTCACCCGGGTGTCTCCTGTAGTGGGGCGTCCAGCCTCACCCTGGTGTCTCCTGTAGTGGGGCGCCCAGCCTCACCCGGGTGTCTCCTGTAGTGGGGCACCCAGCCTTACCCCTGGTGTCTCCTATAGTCGGGCGCCCAGCCCCACCGTGGTGTCTCCTGTAGTGGGACGCCCAGCCTCACCCTAATGTCTCCTGTAGTGGGGGGCACCCAGCCCCGCCGTGGTGTCTCCTGTAGTGGGACTCCCAGCCTCACCCGGTGTCTCCTGTAGTGGGGCACCCAGCCTCACCCTGGTGTCTCCTGTAGTGGGGGGCGCCCAGCCTCACTGTGGCACCAACCTCACCATGACACCTCTCTGCAGTGGGATACCCACCACTGGGGAGAAAGCAGCAGCTATGCTTCTGCTGACATGAAACAGGCTTCTGGATGTGTCATTAGTGAAAAATACACATAGCAGGATGCCGAGAGTAGTTTTCCAACAATGCAAACTTCATGAGCATAAATGTGCATTTTATTAAAGGCAGAATGTGTTATGCACGTGGAATTCCCTCTGAGCAGGAAAGTAGAATTTAGAAAAAGGAGAGGGAAGAGCAGCATTAAGGGACTCTGACTTTTTTCTATCTTGTTTAATTACTTCTATAAAAATTTTCGTCGTGTAAAATACAAATCCAGATAGGCCAATTGAAGAGAAAGCAGCAGCAGCAGAGGCACCTGTGCGTTCCTGGCGTGTCTCCTTTTCACTTCTGCTCACTGAGGAAGTCCTGTGGTTCCCGTGGCAGAGCTCTGCGTTTGCTCATCTCGGGGCGCTTCTGCACACAGCACAATGGGGGACAAGAAAGAACCAGTGCAAGGTGGGCACAGGGACAAGCTGGTGTCCCTCTCCTCCACGGTGCCCACATAACAGTGACGTAGAAGCCTTTCTCAGAAAGACTGTGACTGAGGCAGGTATAGCCCAGGTCCCCAGTGCAGAGGGTGCTGGCAGTGGGGCCACGAAGCAGCAATGATGGATCTAAGTGAGTTAGCACATGGTCAGGAAGATAGAAGGTTGCCTTGGCTGGTGCAGGTGCAGGTACAGGGAGAGACGCAGGGACTGTGGCCCTCTTCAGCATCACAGGACCACTGTGGCTTGCCTGCCGGCAGCAGTGACCAGCTACAACACAGATTCCAGACTCACTGCTCGCGCGTCCTGACCCCTCCTCTTCTGGCACAGTGCACATAGTAAGTTACCATCTGCGTGCTTCACGTGGCAACTGAGCACTGGGTACGTGCTGTGCCACAGGCCACAGGTCCGCTAATTCTCTGCCAACAGCAAGCAGTGGTGGGTCTGACCACAGTGACATGTAGATGTCCACTTGGTTTGCTGTCCTCTTCCTGTCTGCCGTGTGTTCTTCCTGCTCCTGCATGCACACTCGCCATTGAAATTAGGATCCCCATGTTGTTGCAACACAAGGTCCAGATGGCAAACAAGGGCTGAGCGGCACAGGCCCAGTATGGTCCCTATGGAGAGGTGCTGCAGGCTGGTTCCAAGTGACCCCGTGGGTGTCTCTGGAAGATGTGCAGGCTTGATGCTGCGTTCTGAGCTCAGCCTCTGGGTCCTGCTGCACAGATGCCTCAAAGAAGAGCCAAAACTTAGACGGCCATGTACAGATACGAGGCGGACAGTGTGATCACCAAGGGGCAGCACATCCAAAGGAATTTTTTGAAAATGAGGAAACATAGGATGAAATGGTCCATCACGTCCTCCCTCTTTGTCGTGTTCAGTTTTCCAGCAGTTGCTGTGCTCGTTCTTCCAAGGTTTTGTTTCCCCCACGTTTTCTGCGCTTGGAACTCTGTTACCTGCACCAAACATTGTCTTGTATATTTGTGTCTCTGCACTCCCCCAGTGCAAAGATCTGAAATCTGAAATACTCTAAAATCTGGAACTTTTTAAGTGCTGAGATAAGCAAAAGTACTCATGGGAGGATTTCAGATTTCAAATTCTTGGAACAGGTGTGCTGGACAGGCAAGTATAATGCAGAACATTCCAAAATCCGAAAAAGTCTGAAACTCAAAGCACTTCTGGTCCCAAGCTCTTCAGATAAGGGATGTTTAACCTTTGTGTGTTTGTGTGTGTGTGTGTGAAGGAGGCAGAGACAGAGTCTCACTCTCTCACCCAGACCAGAGTGAAGAGGGGTCAGCCTAGCTCACAGCAACCTCACAGTCCTGGGCTTAAGCCATCCTCCTGCCTCCCGAATACCTGGGGCCTACTGGTGCCTACCACCACATTCAGCTAATTTTTGGATTTTCTGTAGAGACGAGGTCTAGCTGTGTTGCCCAGTCTGATCTCCTGGCCTCAAGTGATCCCCCTGCCTCGTGGGAGATCACAGGCCCAAGTCAACTGCACCTGGCCAAGTTAGCCATGTCCATTAACATTTCAACAAAGTGCATTTTATCAGAGCTGGGTTGCGCCTGTTATCTTGTTCAGATGGTTCTTGGTATAAGATTTTCTGGGGATTGCCTCCCTTTTAACATTTCCAGTGTTTCCTTTGAATGTGGGCAGGGGGACATTACTCCTTTCTCCCCAGCTGCAGTGGCACTGAAACAGGAGCCCTGCCCAAGCTGCCCTCCCCATGTGCTGGGCAGTTTCCCCTCCTGGCTGTTTATATCCTGGCTGCTCCACACAGGGATTTGCTGATGTTTATTAAGCCACCTGGCCTCAAACACACAGCATCGCATCTTCTGAGTCTCCAGAGTATAAAGAGCTATTATTGCTTAAGTTTAGTCAGACCCTTTATTTCAGTTCAGTCCAGCTTCCTGGGTGACCCATCTGTGCTCCTTCCCTCCAGACGGAGGTCTTCCCTTGACCAACATTTTGGTGTCAAAACAACCGGCTACTGCTCTGCCCCTTTCTGAAACTGATACTGCGCAAGGCGCTGTGGTATCCTGGGCATGAGCTACAAAAGAAAGAAAAGCCCACTGAGACTTCCTCCAGATGCAAAATGTTTACTCTCTGAAAGGATTTCTGATAAGGGGAGGCAAGCTAGAGACCTGGGGAAATGCTTGCAAGTCACGTATCTGACAAAGGACACTCATGTTTAGGATGTATAAAGATATCTAAAAACTCAGAAATAAGGGGGGAAAACAATTAAAACATAAACAGAAGACATGAGAGATACTTCACCAAAGAGGATTTAAGGATGTCAACTAGGACATCAAAAGATGCTCCCCATCATTAACCATGAAGTAATGCTTGTCTGATTAAAGCCGCAGGGAGCTGTCATTGCACACCTGTCAGAGTGGATGGAGTCACGGTGCCGAGAGGAGGGGGCGGCCGAATGCGCTGCTGCTGGGAGTGCAAAATGGTGTAGCTGCTCTGGAAAGATTCAACAACTTTAAATTAAAACATACTGATACCATGTGACCCAGCAGTCCACTCCTGGATATGTCCCCAAAGGAATGAAAACTTGGGTTCACACAAAAACCCATATGGGAGCATTACAGTTGTGAAATGTCCTTCACGGGGTGAGGGGTAAGCAGAGGGTGGCATGTCTGTGCAGGGAAAGAGGTGGGCTTTTGGGGCACACAGTACGGGACTCCCAGAGCCTGTGCTGAGAGAAAGGATGCATCTTCAAGGGGGACAGAACATTCCATCTCCATGACCTTCTGGAGAAGACAGAACTTTGGGGCTGGAGACCAGGTTAGAGGATTCTGCCTTGGAGGTGTGACAAGGGTGTGACTCTAAAGATCTGGCAGGAGGGAGCCTGGAGGCAACAGCGTATGCTGTGCCCCATTTTGTGTGAGTCCCTGCACGTGTCATAGCTGCAGAACTGTACACCAGCAAGTCATTTTGGCATTTGACAACTTAGACTTCCTACATAACGTAGCGAAGAAGGCACAGGAGAACACAGCCTGGGGACTAGGGCATGGCAAGGACCCAGGGCAGGTGGTGGCTGGCAACTGGACCTGGGAAGCAGGACATGACCCTGTTGTTTTGTGGGAAGTTAAAACTGGTTAACAAGGGCCAGGTGC